TGGGAGGAAATATTTGCAAATCAAGTATCAGAGAAAGGACTTATGTCCCAACTATATAAAGAAATATAACTCGGGACGCCTGGGTGGCTCAGTCAGTTAAGTGGCTGCCTTCGGCCCGGGTCATGATCCCAGGGTCCTGGGATCAAGTCCCACATCGGGCTCCTTGCTCAGCAGGGAGCCTGCTTCTCCCTGTCTCCCTCTGCTTGTGTTCTCTCTGTCAAATAAATAAAATCTTAAAAAAAAAAAAGAAAAGAAATATAACTCAACAATAAAAATTAAAATTCAGGGGGCACCTGGCTGGCTCAGTCAGAAGAGCATTCAACTCTCGAACTCGGGGTCATGAATTCGAGCCCCACATTGGGTGTACAGCTTATTTTAAAAAAATAATAATAAAATAAATAAAAACAAAAATGCAAAAATGGACAAATTTGAATAAACATTTCTCCAAAGAAAATATACAAATGGTCAGTAAGCATATAAAAAGATACTCAACACCATTAGCCATCAGGGAAATGCAAATCAAAATACAAAGAGATACCACCTCATATTCAGTAGGATGCCCATAATTAAAAAGATAGACAATAACAAGCATAAGCAAGGATGTGGAAAAATTGAAACCTCATACATTGCTGGTGGGATTGTAAAATGGTACAGCCACTTTGGAAAACAGTTTAACGGTTCCTCAAAATATTAAATGTGAAGTTATCATATGACCCAGAAATTCCACTCTTAGACATACAGCCAAGAGAAACAAAAACATATGGCCACACAGAAACTTGCAGATAAATGTTCATAACAGCATTATTTACAATAGCCAAAAAGTGGAAACAACCCAAATGTCCATCAACTGATGAATGGATAAAGAGAATGCTGTATATCCATACAATGGAGTATTATTTGGCAATAAAAAGAAACGAAGTACTGATACATGTTATGGCATAGATGAACCTTGAAAACATTATGCCAGGGGCACCTGGGTGGCTCAGTCGGTTAAGCGGCTGCCTTCGGCTCAGGTCATGATCCCAGGGTCCTGGGAACGAGCCCCGCATTGGGCTCCCTGCTCAGTGGAGAGTCTGCTTCTCCCTCTCCCTCTGTCTGCCGCTCTGCCTACTTGTGCTCTCTATCTCTGTTAAATAAATAAAAACCTTAAAAAAAAAAGAAAACATGCCAAGTAAAAGAAGTCCCATATTGTATGATTCTGTTTATATGAAATGTCCCCAGAATAAGTGAATCCAGGGAAACAGAAAGTAGATTAGTAGTTGTCAGGGGCTGGAGGGAGGAGTGAGTGAAGAGTGAAGACTCACGGGTACCAAGTTTCTTTTGGAGTGATAAAAATGTTCTGGAATTAGAGACTATTGATGGGTGCACAACTCTATGAATATGCTTTAAAAAAACACTGAATTGTACTCCACTCCTTAAGGGTGGATTTTATGGAATATGAATTATCTCAATAAAACTGGAGGTTTTTTTGTGTTTGTTTTTTTTTTTAAGATTTTATTTATTTATTTGACAGAGAGAGACACAGCGAGAGAGGGAACACAAGCAGGGGGAGTGGGAGAGGGAGAAGCAGGCTCTCCACCGAGCAGGGAGCCTGATGCGGGGCTCGATCCCAGGACCCTGAGATCATGACCTGAGCCGAAGGCAGACGCTTAACGACTGAGCCACCCAGGCACCCCCCATTTTAGATTTCTAAGTCAGCATGACTACATAAACTTTTTTTTTTTTTAAGATTTTATTTATTTGAGAGAGAGCGAGAGTGAGAGAGAGTGTAAGAGGGGAGAGGGCCAGAGGGAGAGGCAGACTCCCCACCGAGCAAGGAGCCCAATGCGGGACTCAATCCGGGACTACGGGATCATGACCTGAGTCTAAGGAAGTTGCTTAACCACTGAGCCACCCAGGCGCCCAACAATAGAATACTCTTGATGAGAGAAAAACTCTCTAAAGGCCTGATACGCAAGAGAAGCCATTTTAGATTTCTTTTTTTTTTAAACTTCGTTCAAACCAAAAGCCTGATTTATGACTTGCCACGTATGCACTGTACATCTGAACAAGTAGACTAAAGGAAAACCATCTTGTCCTTGAGATATCCATTAATGCTCCTACTCCCTGGATTCTTTTATGATAAAACCTGTGATTCCTGCCTATATGCTAATCTGTAATCCTTTGAGCTTTCACAAGATATAAAAAAGTATAAAACCCTGTAAAAATTATTCATTCTCAGAGCACTTTCCCTGTGAAGATCATGTTTCCTGGGCAGCTGTCTTAACTTGGGCTCAAATAACACTCTCTTTCTTATGTTTAGAGATCCTAAAAGGCTTGTTCATTTTACATCGACATTTTGTAGATGGAATATAAAAATAAAAATAGGGGTGCCTGGGTGGCTCAGTCGTTGGGCATCTGCCTTCGGCTCAGGTCATGATCCCGGGGTCCTGGGATCGAGCCCCGCATCGGGCTCCCTGCTCCACAGGAGGCCTGCTTCTCCCTCTCCCACTCCCCCTGCTTGTGTTCCCTCTCTCGCTGTGTCTCTCTCTGTCAAATAAATAAAGTCTTAAAATAAATAAATAAATAAAATAAAAATAAAAATAATGAAGATACTCTTTAGGAGTTGTTGATATGGAAGGATATCCAGAATATACTGAAAAGTGAAAAAAGTAAGGTGTAAAACAGCATGCACTATAATTTGATACCCTCTTGTATATAAGAAAGGAGTGAAATAAGAATAGATCAATCAGGGGCGCCTGGGTGGCTCAGTTGGTTGGGCGACTGCCTTTGGCTCAGGTCATGATCCTGGAGTCCCTGGATCGAGTCCCGCATCGGGCTCCCTCTCGGCAGGGAGTCTGCTCCTCCCTCTGACCCTCCTCCCTCTCCTGCTCTCTCTCTCATTCTCTCTCTCAAATAAATAAATAAATAATCTTAATAAAAAAAAAGAATAGATCAACCAATCAATATATGTTTATACTGTCATAAAGAAACATTGAACAAATTCACAACAAACTAATACAAATGCTTATCTGTAGGGCTAGTGGGGAGGAATGGAATGAATGAGCATTAGAGGTGTGTATCAGGCAAGATTATCCAGAGAAAGAGAATCCACAGGATCGATCGATTGATCTATCTATCTATCTATCTATCTATCTATCTATCATCTATCTATCTGGATTATAAAGTATTGGCTCACATGATTATTGAGGCTGAGATGTCCCACTATCTGCTATTTACAAACTAGAGACCTAGGAAAACCAGTCATGTAGTTCAATGGCTGGAGAGCTTATGGTGTAGATTTCTGTCTGGATCTGAAGCTTGAAAACCAGGAGCACTGAGGACAGAAGATTGATGTCTCAGCTCAAATAGTCAGGCAGAAAGTAAATTCAACCTTCCTTTGCCTTTTTGTTCTATTCAGGACCTCAATGTTTCTGGGTTTTTTGGTTGTTTTTTTTTTTAAGTAAACTCTACACCCAAATGGGGCTTGAACTCTGGGCTCAAGGACCCTGAGATCAAGAGTTACAGGCTCTACTGACTCAGCCAGCCAGGTGTCTCAGGCCCTCAACGGTTTGAATGATGTCCACTCCCATTGGAGAGAACCAACTGCTTTACTCAGTACACCAAATTCAAATGTTAATCTCTTCTGGAAACACCTTCACAGACACACACAAAAATAATATTTAACCAGCTATCTGAGCATCCCTTGGCCCAGTCAAGTTGATCCATAAAATTAACCATCACAAGGTAGAAGCAAAACTTCTCAGTGTATATCTGCTTATCTCTTCAACTTGTTTTTTTTTTTTTTTAAAGATTCTATTTATTTATTTGACACACACAGAGAAAGAGCACAAGCAGGGGGAGCAGGAGAAGGAGAAGCAGGCTCAGCAGGGAGCCTGATGCAGGGCTCGATCCAAGACCCCAGGATCACAACCTGAGTCAAAGGCAGACGCTTAACCGACTGAGCCACCCAGGTGACCCTCTCTTCAACTTCTGAACCATGAGAATTTTTAACTATTCAAAAAATGTGTTTAAGTTTTGCTTTTAAGTCTATTGTTTTTACTACATGTTTTTTATTTTTTTTATTTTATTTTTATTTTTTTTTAAAGATTTTATTTATTTATTTGAGAGAGAATGAGAGAGAGCACATGAGAGGGGGGAGGGTCAGAGGGAGAAGCAGACTCCCTGCCAAGCAGGGAGCCCAATGCGGGACTCGATCCAGGGACTCCAGGATCATGACCTGAGCCGAAGGCAGTCGCTTAACCAACTGAGCCACCCAGGCGCCCTTTACTACATGTTTTTTAAAATCCATTCAGATATTCAATTATCTTCTCAGTGACTAACATCTACTTTGTCTTCTATTTACAGTGGTGATCTAGCAGTTTCAGCAAAATACCAATCCTGGATAAATCCATCTCTCCACCTGTTTCATACCTCACCTGAGCAGCTGAACCTGACTCGAGAAAACATAACCAGGATGACTGATATCATTTTACTTATTTATTTATTTTAAGATTTTATTTATTTGAGAGAGAGAGAGAGAAAGCACAAGCACGGAGAGTGGCAGACAGAGGGAGAAGCAGGCTCCCTGAGCCTCCAACATGAGACTCGATCCCAGGACCCTGGGATCATGACCTGAGCCGAAGGCAGACACTCAACCGACTGAGCCACCCAGGTGCCCAACTGATATCATTTTATATTTATAGCCATAAATGTCTGAAAAACCTACTATGCCTTCAACAACACTTGGAAATTCTACTACATTTTCTTAGTTAATTTACTCTCCCGCTCTCAGAGATGACTATTTTATATATTTACTCTCTTTAAATCTCCGAAACTCCCTCCCCAATCCTCACATTTAGCCAATGACCCTCCCCTCCCCATTTCACTGAAAAAAAGAAAAAAATTTTAAAAACAGAAGAGAAATTCCACAAGGTCCCACCACATCAATTGTAAATTCAATCAGCTGCATATAACAGACACACACATCCCAGAAAAAGGAAAAAAGGGAAAAAGATCAGTGTGACTTAAACAAATTGTTTTATTTTCTCCCATAATGAGAAGTCCAGAGGTAGGCAATCCTGGACTTGTGTGGCAGCTCCACAATGTCATCAGGGACCTAGACTCTATCTTCCTTCATCCTTAGCAATGGTTTAGGTTCACTTTATTGTCATAAGATGGTTGAACTTCAGTTATCATGTCCACATTCTAAGCAAGAAAAAGAGAAAGGACAAAAACATACCAGTTCAGATGCCCCACAAGACAACTTCCACTAACAACTCACCAGAACTTAGTCACATAGACATCCCTTGTGTAGTTGGAACAGAAACTTGGCACCCTGCTCCCAAAAAAATCAGGGTTCTGTTGTTATTAAGAAACAGGGAGAGTGGCACCTGGGTGGCTCAGTCTGTTAAGCCTCCAACTCTTGATTTTGGCTCAGGTCATAACCTCAGGGTTGTGAGATCGGGGGAGCCCCATATTGGGCTCTGAACTGGGTGTGCATCCTGCTTAAGATTCTCTCTCTTCCTCTCCTTCTGCCACTCCCCACCCTTCTCTCTCTCCCTCTCTTTAAAAAAAAAAAAGAAGAGAAAGAAAGAAGAAAGATAAAGAAAGAGAGAAAGAAGAAAGAAAGAAGAAAGAAAGAAAGAAAGAAAGAAAGGAAGGAAGGAAGGAAGGAAGGAAGAAAGAAAGAAAGAAAGAAAGAAAGAAAGAAAGAAAGAAAGAAAGAAAGAAAGAAAGAAAGAAAAGAGAAAGAAAGAAAAAGAAACATGGAGAGAATAAGGACAAATTACCTATTTTCCTATTTCACTAGGGTGGGGAAGAAAAAAGAAGCAACCAGAAGAGAAATTCTAACGTTCCTACCACCAAATCTAACTACCAACCTGAATCTGTACTCCTCTGGCTTCCTCCTATGTGTCAATGGCTAAACTATCATGCTCCTCTCCAAGGTTAACCCTTCCAGTGGCGCACTGAATCCCTTCCCATTTCACTATTCTAAAACTTTGCTCCTGAATTTATCCCCTTTTCATCAATTTTCCCCTCCCTTTTGTTTATTCTCACTAGCAAACATGCCAAAATATCTCCCATCTTCTTTAAAAATCTTCCCTTTGTTGAACATCCCTATCCAACTATCCCAGCTATCACCCTTTATTCTCTTAAAGCAAAATTCCTCAAAGGAGGTTTTTATCCCACTTTCTCCACTTCCTCACTTGCATTCTCTCTAAAATCCACTCCAATCAGGCCCTTCATTCATTCCTACTGCCCCACTGCAGCCACTCTTGGCCAAGTCACCCGTGACATCCACACTGCCAAATCTATTAGCCAACTCTCAGACTCATCTTACCTAACTTCCCAAAAGAATTTGACATAGTTATCACTCTCCTGCTTGAAACACTTGCTTCATTTGGTTTCTAGGACACCACACTCTTCATGTTTTTCTTCTTACACCACTAGCTACTCCTTCTCACTTTGACTACAGGATCCACTTCCTAATTTTTAAAAGCTGAAATGCTCCAGGGTTCAATCTTTGGTCCTCTTTTAATCTACACTTTCTTGCTAGGTGATGTCACCCAGTTTCTATGCTGAGGACTCCTAAATTTATCTCCAGTATGACTTCTTCTCTACACTTTAGCCTACTGCCTAATCATTTCTACTTAGATGACTAATACCCTACATCTTAAACTTAACATGTCCAAACTGAACTTCTGATTCCCTCCATTTCCTTATATCTGTTCCTCCTTCAGTATTCCCCATTGTTGCTCAGGCCAAAAACCTTAGGATCATGTTTGACTCCTCTTTCTCACTCTACATTCCATGCATTAGTAAATCCTACCAGTACTACATTCAAAAATTATCTATACACTGACCTCCTTTTACCACCTGCACCACTGGTCCACCCTGGTCCAAGTAACTATCACCTCTTATCTGCATTACTACAATTCCCTTCCAACTCATATTTCTTATTCCACTCTTAACCTCTTATACTTTATTCTCATAACAGCTAGACAATCCTTTTAAAATCTAAAATAGAATATGTCATATCTTTGCTCAGAACTATGTAATGGCTTCCCTGATTTTAGAATAAAACACAGTCTTCCCATGACTAATAAGAAAGACACTTACATGACCTAGACACAGGTACTTCTCTGATATCATTTCATAATACCCTCTCCCTCACTTCCTCTGCTCTTATCTCACTGACTTCATTAATATTGCTTTTAAAAAGACATACACCCTCAACCTCAGGCTTTTGCATTTGATGTTCCTCTGCTTGAAATGCCCACTCTACCACCTAATTCAGGTCTTTGTTCAAATAACAACCTCCTCAGAGAGGCCTTCTCAGATCACTTTATCTAAAATAGCCTTCCTCTGTAAATTTAATCTCTTTTCCACACTTTATTTTTCTTCATAGCACCCAAAAGCACCTGATATTATATTTCACATCTCTTTGCTATATATTTATTTTCTTTCTCCTTCACCAAAATATAAATTCCATGAGGGGAAGGGCATATTTTGTTCATTGTTATATCTACCCAACACTTAAAAGGAGTATTTCCATCGTAAGCTCTCAGTAAATATTTGTCCAATAAATAAAAACAGAAGTCATATTGTTTTTTATATACATACAATGAACCCTTTCCAGTCTTTACTCTGCTTAACTTCTCTGCAGCATTTGGCATTGTACCACTTCTCCTTCTGGAAACTCTCTCTTTCCTTGGACTGTGAGACCTCCAGTTCTCCCTCTCTGATCATTTCTTTTCAGACCCCTTTTACAGGTTCCTTTTCTCTACTTTGAATATGACCATTCTTCAGATTCCCTACTAAGGCCAGGTTCTCTACTAAGACCACCACTCTCCAAGCTCTATGCATTCCACCTGAGTGGTCTTATCCATCTTCACAGTTTAATTATCATCTTTATGCTGAAGACTCTCAAATCTGTATCTCTCTCCTCTCTCCATAGCTGCATATATGACTGACTAAGAGACATCTCCAGGTATATGTACCACAGACACTTAAACCTCAAGACATGTCAAAAGCTGAATTGTTAGCTTCTTCTGTGTCCCTTCTTTAGTTCCCATCCACTTCTTCCTTCAGTATTATTTTTTTTATTATTGTTAAGATTTTATTTATTTATTTGACAGAGAGAGACACAGTGAGAGAGGGAACACAAGCAGGGGGAGCGGGAGAGGGAGAAGCAGGCTTCCCACGGAGCAGGGAGCCCAATGTGGGGCTTGATCCCAGGACCCTGGGATCATGACCTGAACTGAAGGCAGACACTTAACGACTAAGCCACCAGGCGCCCCTGGACGTAGCTAGTTTTAAGGTTGGCTCAACAGCTTCATGGTGTCAGAGCACTGAGATGTCATCTCTTTGATTCTTTTTATATTAAGACTCTGAAAATCTTAAATTGGCTATAGGCATCACACCTTCACAGAACATTTCCAAAAGCAGAAAGAAAGGGGAAGAAGTGAAACTAAAGGTCCTCAAGGGTGCAATCTCTTTTCATCAGGGGAGAAAACTGTAGCTGGGGCACAGGGGTGCAGGAGCACCTGGCTCTGGGGGTGCCAAACAGATCAGGTTCAGCCACTCACCACTGACAAAATCTAAAGGCAGAGAAAAGAGTGGTGGTGAAACAAGAAAGGAATTTATTTCAGTGAGGCCAACACTGGGAAGACAGGAGACCAGCATCTCAAAGTCTGACTCCAAAGTGTCAAAAATACTTCCAGGTATATATAAGGAAAATGTGGAGCAAAAGTTGGTGGGTACATGCAGGTAGGCAGTGAAGGTTAAATTGATCATTGTCTTAGGGTCAGTCATGAGGGGTCTTGCTGGCTCAGGGCAGTCCTTATTGCTCAAAGGGGTAGTTTGGGTTCCCATCAGAGGATGCTTTGCCCACAGGGTCTTTTGCCTAGGTTGAGATAAGTTTGGTATGGGCCACCTGGCTGGCTGTGACTCTTGATCTTGGGGTTGTAAATTTGAGCCCCACATTGGGTGTAGAGATTACTTAAAAATAAAATCTAAAAAAAAGAGAGAAAGAGAGAGAGAGAGAGAAGTTTGGAAAAAAGAAGTTAGTCACTTAGAAAGTACAGACTGAGGGGCGCCTGAGTGGCTCAGTCAGTTAAGCGTCTGCCTTCGGCTTGGGTCATGATCCCGGGGTCCTGGGATCGAGTCCTGCATCGGGCCTCTTGCTCCGCGGGAAGCCTGCTTCTCCTTCTCCCACTCCCCCTGCTTGTGTTCCCTCTCTCACTGTGTCTCTCTCTGTCAAAAAAATAAATAAAATCATTAAAAAAAAAAAAAAAAAAGGAAACTACAGACTGAGGTCAAAATGAAGGTAGTTGAAGTCCTCTTTCAAATCCATTTGCGGAAATACCCTAGCCAACTTCCCTTTATGTTCCATTGGCCAGAACTGGGTCCAATTATAAAGGAGACTGAAAAAGCAAGTAAATATCTGGTAAAGGGCAATAGGGTTCCTTTGATTTATCCCTTGGGATTGAGCACATAAATATCCTTTAAAAAGAGACAGAGTGAGAGGGGCACCTGGGTGGCTCAGTCATTAAGCATCTGCCTTTGGCTCAGGTCATGAGCCCAGGGTCCTGGGATAGAGCCCCGCATCAGGCTCCCTGCTCCTGGGGAAGCCTGCTTCTCCTTCTCCCACTCCCCCTGCTTGTGTTCCCTCTCTCCCTGTGTCTCTCTCTGTCAAATAAATAAATAAAATCTTTAAAAACAAACAAAAAAACAAAACCCATTTTCTTTCCCCTATACCACCTACCTGTGGGGGTAGGGGTGGAGGGGTGGGGGGGGGAGAGACAGAACACTATATAGCATGTAAATTTATAACACTGCAATAAATAAGAATAAAAGATCAAATATTCAAAAATAGTTGATGTTTGGTAAGTTACTGCTACTTATTTTTGTCTTTCCCTGTAGAGCTGGTTAAAGGAACAAAATATATTGTGAACTATTGTGTCTAAACCACAATATGGAACTATTAGAAATGTTTCTGACTGCGTAGAACAGTAGCAAATGGCCACGATACTAAGTAGCAAAAATGGGAGTGGCTCAAATAGCAACACAGGGTTTCCCATTACACCAAAGACTTAAAGCAAATAGTTACAGACCCTGAAACAGTCCAACAAAACAAAGATCTAATAATCAGTTAAAATGTTAAGATGGTGGATAATACTATGTTTATATTCCAGCAATAGATAACTACTATTTAGTTGTTAAATATATACAAAGTATATGCATCTATATATAATATAAGTAAATAAACCTATATAAGTTTAATATAGGTAAAAAAAGGAAAAAAAAAGTCAGCCTTTCCTCTCAGGTACTAAAGAGGTAGCAAAATAAACTTAGCATTATTCAATATTTTTCTGGCATAAAGATACCAGACTAGATTATATTTAAAAGTCCATTTTGGATCTAAATTACTCTCTGAAAACTAAGGTGTCACCAGGGACCTAAAAAACCCTCAAATACTTCCTCATTCACAACAGGGGAATTCACAGAAACAAGGCTAGCAAAGCTAATGATTTTAGGAGGGTATCTGGGGAGACATACAGGCCCACAGGAGCAAATCTCTGCAGTGAAAGCTCTAAGGTTCTGCAGAGAGCTAGAAGGAGGGAGGTGCCTGCTTCCAAATGGCTTTCATCCAGAGCAGACAGCAAAATGGAGTTAAGCAGGGTGGTTCCCTAACATTCATTTGCTGGTCCAGGCAAACTAATTATTTTCCATCTCCTTTAAGAATAAGTGAGACAATATTCAAATATATTCCTGTCCCCAGTAACCTAGTTTGGAAAATACGTGCAAATTTGGATCTTGAGTTGAAAACCTTTTCACAAAAGATCATCCTACAAAAAAAAAAAAAAAAAAAGGGAAAAGAAAGCAAGAAAATCTTTGAACAGGATTACAAAAAATATATTTATTAGAAATAAAAGAAAACCTCCTTGTCTGTATTCCAGGTTCATATGAGTGGAAATTTTACATACACAGAAAGTAAAAATATGTGTGTGTATGTGTGTGTACATATATATCCTTACAAACTACACACACATATTAACAGTGTAAATCTGTTATTTGTCTGATATGAAGGGTGAAGTCTTTACCAAATCTGAGCAAGGTAATAACTGAGTATGAATTGTGAATTGTTAGTTTTACACTTGCTTTTTTTGTTACATACTATCCCTGGGAGGATATTTTGAATAGTGTAACAACAATAGGTTTCTGCCAGGACCATTTTAAATCCACATTTTAAACCTAACTAACCACTTCATGCATTTCCGAGGCAGAGGTGGGGAGGAGGGTATCCACTATAATCTGGGCCTCCTAGAAGGAGGCTATAACCAATTGATCTTGACATAACAGAAAGCAGTTATTATATAGAATTTTACAAAGCTCTATATAACACAAGGATTCCCTACTTCCTAATATCCTTCAGTATCAATTTCCTCACTACCCAAATTTCTGTCCTCACTTCTACAATTCAGCTACCAAATTTGAAATGTATCTTTGAATCTCCCTTTTTAAAAGCCCCTGGGGCTGTTCGATAAAGTTATTGGTTATATCTAAAAATGGGGCCTAGTAGGCCCTTTTAACAGCTTCGATGTTCAATGCTTAGGTACTACTCTTTGAATGACTGAAATACTTTTGCTTCCAACATCTGGCACCTTAGTTTAACGAACAAGTCATTACAATAAACCAAATAAAACTAGTCTGTTTTCTAAACCTTGCATCCTCCACATTATCAGGTAAGTACTGAGAAAAGAAAAAGACAAAACTCACTGACAAATTGTGGCAACATGAAAATAATCAGCTGAGCTATCCGGACCAGAAATTTCTGCATCTCATGGTGCTTCGTCTTTAAAACTGTACAGACTTCTTAAGTCTTAGGGTTCGTCCAAATTAAGGCAAGCCTGCTTTCCCGTTCCCATGTTGGTTGCTTTCCGAACCTGCGCCCGCCCCCGCCCAAGCCCTGGCGGCCATGCGCCGCAGACTGCAGCAACCGAGCTCGCTGTCCGCAGGCGCGGCGGACCCCGCCCCGCAGGGCCGGCGCGGGGAGGCGGCTCTGGGCCAGGAGCCCGCCTCTGCGGCGGCCGAGCCGGGCGCCGAGTGGGCGCGCCGGGCCGGGGGAGGGGCCCGCGGCCATGGCACCGCCTGGGCCCGCCCGCCCCTCCCCGGACCGCTACTTAAGTAGCTCCGGCAGCGCCCCCGCCTCAGTGCGTTACTTACCTCGACTCTTAGCTTGTCGGGGACGGTAACCGGGACCCGGTGTCTGCTCCTGTCGCCTGCGCCTGCTAACACATAGCCACCATGGTAAGTGGGCCGCTCAGGACGCCGCCCTCGCTCTGGAAAACGGGAAACGCGAGCCGGGCAGTCTTGGGGGGGCCGTTAGCCAGGGATCAGCGCTCTGGTTTTGGAAGGCGAAAAGCGAGGCTAGAGGCGAGGGTTGTAGTAGTGAGAATGGTTGGGGCCCGGGAGGGAGGCTGCCGCGTTTTCTTCTTGGACTCTGGGAGGGCATGGCCGGACGCCGGCTCCCCGACTGTGGTTGGGGCTCTCAATTAGCCCTTACCTCTTGGACGCGGCGACCCGAGACCCTACAGTCTTTTCCCGCGCGTTCCCATCCCCCTTTCCTTCGTCCGCTTTTGGCGGGCGCGCGCGCGCGCGCGCGCGGGCTCTCCACGCCCTCACTTCCTCCTCTGCCAGAAACGCGGAGGCGGGAAGGAGCCCGACACAAAAGCGCAGGCGCAACCGTTACCTTCCCGCCAGGGAGCGGCGGGAGACCGCCTTTGCCGTCTGCGCGTGCGCGCCGGGTGCTGAGGGTCTACCACCGTAGGGTGTGTCTTTTCTTAGCCTGAGTTGGGGGGGTCGGGGGGAGTGTTTTTTAACGAGAACAATAAGATGAATGTGGAGAACGGCTCCTTGTCACTGTGCCTCACTACGCTAGAGTATTAGGACAATTAGCTCCCAACAGCTTCTAGAAGCCATCTGTCCGTCCTTGGTCTAAGTTAGGAATGCGCATAGGAGCAGGTGGTGGCAGTGAGTGATTTTGAGGGAACGGAAATCGGATCTTGGTCCAGATCTGGGCCGCCGATAATCCCCTGCTGTGCCCTGACAGATGTGAAGGTGCTGGGCTGAGCCCAACGCCTGGGGGAGCCGAAGATGGTTGGCCATGGCAGGCGCCTCTGCAGACGAGGCTGCTGCGTGTCTCTGCAGCTGCGCGGCCCCGGTAGCCGCAGAGGGGCGCGGGTGCGCGCACACCCTGAATTGCTCATTCATCCTGTGCCGCAAAGCCCCGCCCTTTGTCCCTGCGGCCAGACATTTCCTCTGCACTGTTCTGGCCACGTGCTTCCTGCGATGGGCGCTGCCCGGAAATCTGGCCGCGTAGTCTAAAATGGAATTCTGAGGCCTGAGCACTGGATGAATGGCCTCCCTATCTTCGTCTTCCAAAGGAGGAAGCTGTGACTAAGCGCTCTTGGTCTGGAAAGAGACCTTCCCAATTTAGATAGGGAAAAGAAATTCATTAAAAGCCAGCATATCAAAGTATAGAGTCTCCCCTAAAAGAGTATTACATTTTAAATAGTTTTAGAAGGGGAAGTTTGTAAGATTGTTTACATAAATTATTTTGTTCTGCTTTACAGTCACTAGATTAGTTTAATACTGATTTTCTTTTTTTCTAATCTACTTTTCCACAGCGTGAGTGCATCTCCATCCACGTGGGCCAGGCTGGTGTCCAGATCGGCAATGCCTGCTGGGAGCTCTATTGCCTGGAACACGGCATCCAGCCCGATGGCCAGATGCCAAGTGACAAGACCATCGGGGGAGGAGATGACTCCTTCAACACCTTCTTCAGTGAGACGGGCGCTGGCAAGCATGTGCCCAGGGCCGTGTTCGTAGACCTGGAACCCACAGTCATTGGTGAGTTGGCCTCAGTGACCTGACCCCGTGAGCTCCCGGGGTGAGACAGTGGAGGGGGGTGTCTGGGACAGGAGGTCTGTCTTGAGGCTCCGTGGACACCCTGGGGTTGAGCGGGCTTGTGCAGGGGGTGAGTGAGGGGTGGCTGCTCTATTTGCCTTTTGCAGATGAAGTTCGCACCGGCACCTACCGGCAGCTCTTCCACCCTGAGCAGCTCATCACTGGCAAGGAGGACGCTGCCAACAACTACGCCCGAGGGCACTACACCATTGGCAAGGAGATCATTGACCTTGTCTTGGACCGCATTCGGAAGCTGGTAGGTTTATTCTCAAGAATAAAGTAAACAGTGATCCTAAGGTAGACATTGGAAATATGTTCTTTTCATCTTAAACACAGAACTGAAATGTAATAGAGTGAGGTAAACTTCCTTTACAGTTTTTTTAAAAAATCCAATTAAAGCACTGACTATTTAGTGTCATTTTATAGATATTAGTGAAGCTTTTTTTTTTTTAAGATTTTATTTATTTGACAGAGAGGGAACACAAGCAGGGAGGAGTGGGAGAGGGAGACCCAAGCAGGGAGCCTGTCGCAGGACTCGATCTGAGCCGAAGGCAGACGCTAAACGACTGAGCCACGGAGGCGCCCATTAGTGAAGCTATTTTTAACTAAATGCTTAGTAAGATCTGTATTCTTGGAATTGTATGAAAAGTGAAAATATATTGCAAAGAGCAGTAATAATATGTTTTCTCTATTCCTTTTTTCTAACAGGCTGACCAGTGCACAGGTCTTCAGGGCTTCTTGGTTTTCCACAGCTTTGGAGGGGGAACTGGTTCCGGGTTCACCTCCCTGCTGATGGAACGTCTCTCTGTCGATTATGGCAAGAAGTCCAAGCTGGAGTTCTCCATTTACCCAGCCCCCCAGGTTTCCACAGCTGTAGTTGAGCCCTACAACTCCATCCTCACTACCCACACCACCCTGGAGCACTCTGATTGTGCCTTCATGGTAGACAATGAGGCCATCTATGACATCTGTCGTAGAAACCTCGATATTGAACGCCCAACCTACACTAACCTTAACCGCCTTATTAGCCAGATTGTGTCCTCCATCACTGCTTCCCTCAGATTTGATGGAGCCCTGAATGTTGATCTGACAGAATTCCAGACCAACCTGGTGCCCTATCCCCGCATCCACTTCCCTCTGGCCACCTATGCCCCCGTCATCTCTGCTGAGAAAGCCTACCATGAACAGCTTTCTGTAGCAGAGATCACCAACGCATGCTTTGAGCCAGCCAACCAGATGGTGAAATGTGACCCTCGGCACGGTAAATACATGGCTTGCTGCCTGTTGTACCGTGGCGACGTGGTTCCCAAAGATGTCAATGCTGCCATTGCCACCATCAAGACCAAGCGCAGCATCCAGTTTGTGGACTGGTGCCCCACTGGCTTCAAAGTGGGCATTAATTACCAGCCTCCCACTGTGGTGCCCGGTGGAGACCTGGCCAAAGTACAGCGAGCTGTGTGCATGCTGAGCAACACCACAGCCATCGCTGAGGCCTGGGCTCGCCTGGACCACAAGTTTGACCTGATGTATGCCAAGCGTGCCTTTGTTCACTGGTATGTGGGGGAGGGCATGGAGGAAGGAGAGTTTTCCGAGGCCCGTGAGGACATGGCTGCCCTTGAGAAGGATTATGAGGAGGTTGGTGTGGATTCTGTTGAAGGAGAGGGTGAAGAAGAAGGAGAGGAATACTAATTACCATTCCTTTCAGCCCTGCAGCATGTCACACTCAACTTTAGCTTCAACATTAGCTGACAGGCGTTAAAGCTTTCTGGTTAGATTGTCTTCACTTTTAACTGTGATCATGTCTTTTCCATGTGTATCTGTTGCATTTTTCCATTATGTCTCAAAAGTAAAGGCTTTAAGAAAGAAAGTTTGACTTCTGTGCTTTTTCTAAATTGCTTTCTCCAGTTCAGGATCTACTACCATTCATCTGTATCTGGAAGATAGCAGCAGGGTGCTAATATCAAGGATCCCATTTCCTGTGTAGCCACCTCTGGGAAAAAGAGCACACTGGGCTAGAAAAGCAGGAGAGCTGGATTCTGACCCTGATCTAATATCACCTCAACCAGTGTTAGAATCTAGATCAAAGGGAGCTTAGAAAAATGTTAGTCCAGAGCTAATCTAGCTTTTGAAATTATTGGTTAATTTTAATTACTAATGACTTAGGTATAGGAAGTTTTAAATGCATTACAAATTCATGACTGCTGCTTAAAGAAGTTTGCTAATCTATCAATGTAACTAAAAATTTCAAAATGACCCTTTTTTTTTTTTTTAAGATTTTTATTTATTTGTGAGAGAGAGAGCATGAGAGGGAGGAGGGTCAGAGGGAGAAGCAGACTCCCCACTGAGTGGGGAGCCCGATGCGGGACTCAATCCCAGGACTCCAGGATCATGACCTGAGCCGAAGGCAGTCGCTTAACTAACTGAGCCACCCAGGCGCCCTCAAAATGACCCTTCTATAGGAACACAGATGACTAGAGAAATTCTTGAGCATGTTGAAGTAAACGCTGTTTCCAACCCTGTCATAAGTTGCAGGATCCTAATTCCTGCTGATGAACAAAAATCCTAATAGTAAACCAAATAAGCAGCTGTGGGTTTAAAAAAAAAAAGGCCCTGGATGTTTGTGGAAGAGCACTGCTTTAGGAGAGGGTAAAGTGGCAACATTTGTATAGGTTAGGATAAGAGTTTACAATTTAGGGCACTTAGCATAGTTTACATTCAAGAACAGAATTTGGGGGGCGCCTGGGGGGCTCAGTCGTTAAGCATCTGCCTTTGGCCCAGGTCGTGACCCCAGGGTCCTGAGATCGAGCCCCATATTGGGCTCCCTGCTCCACGGGAAGCCTGCTTCTCTCTCTCCCCCTGCTGTGTTCCCTCTCTCACTGTCTCTGTCAAATAAAATCTTAAAAAAATAGAATTTGGCTACATCTAAAGGACTATGTAGGAGATAGGCAAACAGGATTCAAATAGAGTGTTTTACTGCAGAGAAAATGTATATTTGAAATTCAGAAAGTACAGGGACTATTAAGGCCTGAAGATGTTCAT